CACACCCCTCTCACGCTCTCTCACACGCACGCACACAAACACATACACATACACGCACATAAACACACACATACATAAACACAAACCCATCCACCCGTCCACGCACATTTATTTGGAGGCGTCATCAAGTTCCATTGCAGAAGCAAGCGATCCACCAATTCATTCTCGTCAGGCTTCCAGTTAGATACGTGAAACCGGTGCGTCACCCCCCCCTCCCACCTCCGCTCTTCCACCTCCCTCCCCGGTGTCCCATCGCTGACGGATGTCAGCATCCATGCATACATTCAATTCGCGCCTGCATATTGAATGCGCTCGCCGCCGCTTGTTCCTCTGCGCTTACCCGCACGTGCATGCTTCACTTTCGCACATGAATTCCGACAATCGTGCATGCATATGGACGCTCTCGTCCATTTGTGCGCGGGCGCGCTGTCCGCGGGCGGCCGCCCGGTGCGCCCCGACACTTCCACCTGTCGCCCAGCGGGCGGTGCGGGCGGCGCAGCGCAGTGGGCCGAACCGCCACGAAGACGGGGCAAAAGACGGGACACGGGAGCCCTAGGGCTTCCGCTTTGAAAAGGTACTGGTCTAAACAATTTGTTGATTTTTTGTCTGATACGTATTGCTTGTTATTTCCTTCGTTTCGGAGCTCGATATACTCTGCATAATTTGCCTGGATCGTGAGGATCGAAGTTAGGGGGATGTGTAAAAACAGCTGAATGATATTCTTTAATCATGTAAATGAAGAAAAAACAAACAGAGTCAAGTTAAGATCTTGTGAATTCGAAAGTAAGTAAATTTGAATCAATAATCACATTTTTATCAAGATAAGATAAAATATTATATATTTCATTACCATGGTCGTTGACTGGTTCTAATTACTGTCGCCACTCATTTATTAGAACCCTTACGACGCCTTTGGTGCTTAAATAATTATTACAATATTTGTAGTAGTGAACGTAACGTACTTACAGTTAATCGTAATGTATTTGAGCTTTTTATTTCTTAAAAATGTTACATAGATGAATTTTACGCATTTCCTTTTATTTTAATAAACAGTGTTTATGTAAACTGTACCAGTAAACAGTGTTTTATGTAAACAGTTATCATAAAATTAAAACGGTCTCAGATATATCTCATTATGTATCTATAGTATATAAATATATACGTATATAAAAGTATATATTATATACTTCTATTGCCGTTCTATTGTATAATATTTTCAAAATACCTGGACGGGGGGGGGGGG